TTTCCCCTCCCCCTGTCACCTTTTCCCGGTGGGAAGGGGCTGCCCCCACAATAGAATTCCCTTCTTCCCATCAGCTCCACAGCAGGATGCAGTGGGATGCTCCAGCTCCCAGCGCCACAGGGATATGATCCCTCAACCCAGCAGTGCCCCCCCCTCAGGCAATAAACCCTCCCCTTCCCCATCAAGCATCCCTCCAAAACCACAACTCAATATTGCCCTTAACTTCGGGCTAATTTATTCTTCCACCCAACTTTTTCCACGTTTTTGGGCCAGCCAAGGCCCAGGCAGGGAGGTGCATTGAGCTGCTGCCACCTGAGCAGCAGCTTCATTAAGGCATCGTTAACCAGGAGCAGCATTAAACAAGCCCCACTGCCTGGCACAGGACAGGATCCATCCTGGCAGCGCTAATTACACGGATAGAGCAATTAGAGCAGACTGTTCAGGTGGGATGGAGCTGCACAACCCGTGTGACACCTCAGCACATGGGGTTTATCCACTCATCTTAACCAGGAACCAGTCCCAGGCTCTGGGACTCAGAAAAATAAAAGTAAAAAATAAATAATAAATATTAAAAAAAAAAATCGCTGTTCCTCACTCCATGCAGGATCATGCCCAGTCGCATGGGACATCAATGATTTAGGAATTGGCTTGAAACACCTTGAAAAAAATAAAGAATAAGAATTCAGCTCTGTTTGGCCAGTGGGAATATCCCCAGGAATGCAGCCCCGCTGGAAAGAGACCCCATTTATAGAGGGCCCGAAGGCTGCCCCTTCCCGCACTGTCCCACCTGCTTCTTTGGGGCTCACCGGAATCCCGCTCTCCGGCGGCTGCCCCGGTGCGGCAGCTCCCCATGGATGCCCGGGATCCAGCAGCTGTGCTGCACTGGACTCCTGCTCCATGGCATCTTCCGGGCACTGGGAAAAGGGGGGAAGAAAAGGGAAGAGAAAAATCTGGAATTTTGACTCTTTCCTCTCTTCTTGCCCTTAAGGAGTAGCCTTCAGCAGGCAAATTCCCCCCTCATCCTCTTTTCCCATCTGAAAGCCAGGATGGAAAAACACACCTGATGGCATGGGAGAAGAGGGAAGTATGAGCTGCCTTCCCACCTTCCGCTTTCCCATAGGGAAGGGGGAATTGGCACCTCCAGAGAGCTAAAACCAGGCCACATCCCAAGCAAAGGGGTTTCTTCCAGAGTAAATAATTTAAGCAGTTCACAGCAGCTCTGCATCCTGCTGCTCCATGTCTGCTAAATAATTGCAAAAGCCAGAGCGACGCCTTTTCCCCTGGCATTTCCCAACTAACTGCACCTGCAAACATCTAGCAATGAAACCAGTGATATGAAAAAACAAACAAATGAAAAAAACCTCACACAGACCCACACACATTACAGGAGGCCCATTAGGAGGATGATTTTTCCATACCATTTTGGAGGAAAAGGCTCCCCTACCTCCAGGCCACCCGTTTCCTCCAGGACCAGCCGGAGCAGGCGGATGTACTCGGCAGCAGCTTTGAGGGTGTCCACCTTGCTGGGCTTGCGATCCCGAGGGACGAGCGGCACCAGCGCCTTGAGCTTGGAGAAGCCGCTGTTGAGGTTCTTGATCTGACGGGAAGGCACCAGAATTAAATCCCGGGGAGTTATTTGCAGGGATTCAAAGCGTTGCCGGCGGGACCCGGAGCATCCTCACCCGCTGGCGCTCCTTGGCGTTGGCGACTCGCCGGCGCTCCAGCACCTCGGCCGGGTCGCCGGTCACCTCGTAGCCGCCCGACGGCTGCTTTTTGAGGCGGGTGATGGCAGCGGCGCAAGGCAGGGGGCCGAAACGGGCGCTCAGCACCTCGCCCAGCAACTCGGGGGCTGGCACGAGCTGCAGCGCTGTGGGGTGGTCCACAGCCATGGGGACACAGAGAGGGACCCTGCTGAAGCAGCAGAAGTCCCCCAGGAACCACCCGGTGCCCCACTTATAACCACCGACCCCAGCACCTGCAGCTGGGCCCTGCTAACGAGGCTAACGATCCTCAGCTGAGGATGGGGGAGGCCTGGTGAAGGCGTGGGGCACCTCAAGGCTGAAACTGTGCCAGTTTGTGACATGGGGAGGCTTGCAATGCTGGCCACACTGTGCAACCCCTTTGGGGTTGGGAGGCCCCCTAATTTGGGGGGTTTAACCCCAAAGGAGCCAACAGCATCGTCCCAGCAGCGGGGCCGGGTGACACTAGATGTCGCTGCCGGACTCCCCGCGTGCGCCGGGCCTCGGTGTCCCCCATCCCTCCCCCTGGCAGGCAGGAGAGGACGGGAACGTTGGGCGAATCCGGCAAATGCAGCAAGTCATCCGGCAAATGCAAAGTGACAGGGCCGCGGCGGGCGCTGCGGGCGCGCTCTGCAGCGGCCGTGCACGATCTGCTGCACCCATGCACCCTCTGCGGCAGCCGTGCATGCAGTGACGCACTTGTGCATACTCTGCAGCATGCATGCATGCTCTGCGTCACCCTTGCACGCTTTACAGCATGCATGCATGCTCTGCATCACCCATGCACACTCTGCAGTGGCCATGGGCCATCTGCAGCTCCTGAGACACCCTGTAGTGCCCGTGCATGCTCTGTAGCACCCGTGCATGCTATGCAGTGCCTGTGCATGCCCTTGTAGCACCCACTGATGCTCTGCAGCACCTGTGCATGCTCTGAAGCACCCATGTAAAATCTGCAGCATCCATGCATTTGGTGCAGCACCTGTGCACACTCTGCTGCACCTGTGCACCCTGCAGTGCTTGTGCATGCTCCGCTGCAGGGAAGCGTGCAGCCTGGTGTTTGCAAGCACACAGGTGTGCCAGGCCAGGCCCGAGCTTGCAGACGGCTCTCCTGGCTCCTGGGATGCGGCCTTAGCACTGCTGCAATGTGGGGGTTGCAGAAGCGCTGCAAAACAACCCCTTCCCCGCATCATCCCAGCCCAGCATCATCCATCCGTGCGGGAAAAATGGAATATTGCTGCCGGAGGGATCCCTAAAAGAGCCATGGCCCGGCACCGTTCGGTAGATGGCACTGTCCCCTCCCGCTGGCTCCCGCTTTTCCTGCC